AAGCCTCAGCCAGTAAGCACTCAGCTCTCATTCTATGGGTCGGTGAGCCTAGCTCCACCACCAGAGGCACCCCACTCCGCCAGGAAGCCTCCTTCCTGAAGGCACTCAGCTCTCTTACTCCATCGGTCGGTGCACCCACTGTAACCACCTTGCTCCTGTCATCTCCTGTTTCTGCTGCTTCTGCTGCTGCAGTTTCTCTGTTGCTGCTTCTTGCCATCTCTTTCTGTCTCCAGTGTTACAGCTCTCTCTCTCTCTGTCCTGGGTCTGTCCTGGGTCTAGGAGGTCTCAGCGCAGGGGTCCCAGGTCCAATGGACAAACTCCACTCCTACATTTTCTCTTTTGGTGGCAGTATGTTCCCCTCTCCTCTGGGATTGACTCCTCTTTTAAGTTAAGCAGGATGGCAAAACTAACTAATCCCCTCCTTAGGGTTCCATACAACTTATTTGCATGGTCCCACCCCCACAAGGGTGCCATGCACCTTATTGACATTATTTGCAAGCTATCCAATCCCCTTGTGGGCCACAAGCACCTCATCTGCATAGTCCTCCCTCAGTGATTTGATGGGAATTACAAAGACTATGGCTAGAAGAGCCACTGTAACCTCCTGAACCAGACTAGGATCGGGTCAGGTCCAGGTCCCTGCTGGGCACAGCCTGTCTGAACATAGAAACAGATACGGCTGTCAAGGCAAAGTGAAAGTGTTTATTTAGTTGGCCAAGTAAAGGAGCGTGCCGGGAGTCCAGTTGCCAAGGCAGCTCCCCAAACCTGGGCAGGGGTCAGCTTTTATGAGGTCATCATAGTAAGCAGAATCAGGAAGTTATACATATTCGTGATTTTTGCTGATTATTCATTATGGGGTAGGGCTAGAAATTGGCACAGAAGCAACTGACGGACTCTTCGCTTCTGAAACGGGCTCGGCCACCGAAGACGATGTTAAGTCCGGTGATTTTTCCTTCCTTGGCATGAGTCTTTTCGTTCCTTGACATGAGTTTTCTGATTCATCTGTGCATGTCTGGTGGTCTGGTGCTGGTTTTCCTTGGAACTTGTTTGTGACTTTTAGCGGCGGAATTACTCTGAAGTTAAAACAATCTAAAGAATTGGGAAGAGGGTTAAACATAGACAGTTCTGATCTGAAGCCTGGATATAGGCTGCCTCTATGGAGAGGGCAGGTGCGGTTTAGCAATCAACCATCTCACATTAAGTAATTTATTGTACAACACTTTTACAGATCAGCCTGTTTTACTCTTTCACATTTCAAAAAGATATTTTACCAAATAAATTGCTAGAAGTGGAATTGCCCCATTTACAATAAAAACAAAAACTGGAAATAACCAAAATGTCCTTCAGCTCGTGAATTCATAAGTACTTTTTTGTTATGCCAATACAATGGAATAATATCTAGTGACAAAAAGGAACAAACTATTGATACTGACCTTTACTAGCTTCTACTGGTCTTTCCCACTGATCAACCATATAGGAAAACCTTAACTTCCTGTAAAATGGTTGTGCCCATAAGCCCATTTCCTAACCTTTGTACAAAGTGGATAAATGTCACGGCCATATTGTCTGCCTGAAAGAGATTTACCTCACACCATATTTTTGGTGAGGAGCCCTGGTGGCACAGTGGTTAAAGCGCTCCACTGGTAACCGAAAGGTCGGCTGTTGGAACCCACCAGCCACTCTATGGGAGAAAGATGTGGCAGCGGGGGCAGATTAACCAGTTAGCAAAGTAGGCACAGATTTACAGTAAGCAAGGTGTGCACGGATTTAAATGTGTTTACTTACTAATTTGTCGTGAACAATCTCACATGGGTGGAAAGTTGTGGTGAAATTGTGCATTGCAGATTAAGCATAAGTAAGTCCGTGCGTACCTTGATTATTGGGTAAACCGTCCCTGTGTGGCAGCTCTTTATCTTCCATAAAGATTACAGCGTTGGAAACCCTCTGGGACAATTCTATTCTGCCCTATAGGGTCGCTATGAATTGGAATCGACTCTACGGCAATGCGTTTGAGTTTTCGTATATTTTTTTGTGTGTAAGCTCCAGCCTCTGAACGACTATCCATTTTCAGCCAGGGTTGAAGCGTGACTCCTCATCCTCCTGGCCATTTCTAGTTGCTGGCACAAAAATGCCCGTTTGCCTCTTGTACGGAACGTATTCAAAGATGGCTGCTCCCAGGGTACCCTGGCAAAGAGGGCTCGGATGTATTCCAAAGTAAACCAAACCCGTTGCCGCCGAGTCGACTCCGACTCATAGAGACCTATAGGACAGATTTGTACGGCCCCATAGGGTTTCCCAGGAGCAGCTGCTGGATTTGAACTGCCGATCTTTCGGTTAGTAGGTAAGCTCTTAAACCACTGCACTACCAGGACTGCAGGCGGACGTATTAGCTCTAAAGAATTCAGATTTATACTTCGTAGAAACTCTTCAGACCCTCGTTGGCCACCGTACGCCGGTTGGCTGGGAGGTCGGGCCAGAAATGGACGAATTTCAGGCAAGTAATTTCTGTCTGCGGCCATCTCCTTGGTGCGGGATGAAAATCTGCGCAGTGGTTGGAGTGTCTGCGTGGAACAGGGTGAGAGGGGTCTGTCGGCGTCCGCGTTGGGTGTTATATGTGAGCCACCGTTGGGAGTTTAGCGTGAGTGCGTGCCCTTTTGCCGGGCATAGTGAGGAATCCGTAATTGGAGGTATGTGATTGGGGTGTCTTTGGCGTCAGTCTTGGCGGGGAGAGGGGTCTTGTGGTTAGTGGTTCAAGATCCCCAAAAGCCAACGAACGGTTTTGAGGTCAGATTTTGGAGTCTTTGCGGTTTACTCTGCCCGTGGGGCTCAGTGATTGAGAGCTGGAGAAGTGCTGTTTGCCTACGAACGCGGGATATCGTTTGGGTTCTCTTTGGGGTAAATGATGGAGGAGCTGCTTTGGGGTACGTGTACAGGGCTTTGTGGCCCAGGTTTTGGAATTAATTCCGGGTGGTGGTGGTCTGTGTTACAGAACGCGTGGAGGGCTGAATTTTCAGAGGTTCAAGTCCCATGTTTGGGGCATGGTTTTAGCTCCCGACGTTGGCTGCATTGGAACGGACTTGATGGACGCCAACATTCCCTGTCAGGCCTTCAGGATAAAGACCCCTCTCCACAACTAGTTTTTAACTTCTCACATGGTTTCTTACTCTTGAACCCTCAAGAAAGTACGTTTTTCGGGAGATGAATGATTCAGCATATCTAAAAGTAATGTTTTCTGATGGCGGTTTATCCTTCTTGCTGCAAATTTACAGGATATTTCTCATAGATACGTATTTTTCTCTACCACCCTAAATTTCGTTTCCCAAAGCCAACCCTTGTAAAAAATATTAGTATATTTAAATGTTATGCTTTTATGTTATATGCCTATGATTCATAATTTGGAGAAGCTGGGTAAATGGTGTTATGATTTCCTTTTTCACTTTATTTCCTGTAATAAACATTTCCAGATTGGGAATTTTTAATACCAAAAGCTTTTTTCTTTGTGAACCGGTGGTATTATGAGTGGGCTTACATTAAATATGTGTGTACATTTGGAAAGAGATGGAATATTGAAAATATTTAGCTCTCAGCTTAGGAACATTTTATGTTTATGTATTTACTCTTGAGTTTGTTGCCTTGCCTTTCCTCTCCAGTCTAGATGATTTACTTCTGTTGCAGTTTTAAATGTGTTTGTTACTTTTTTGTAACTTCTTTTTCCTTATAATTTTCTATAGCATAAAAGACTTGTTGCTGTTGTGGCTTTGAGTTGATTCCATCAATATTAAATGTTTACTTTATGTTTGATCACCTCCTCACTGTCAAGTCGATTCCGACTCATAGCAACCCTGTAGGACAGAGTAGAACTGCCCCATAGAGTTTCCAAGGCTGTAATCTTTATGGAAGCGGACTGTCACATCTTTCCCTTGCAGAGCAGCTGGTGCTGATGGGTTTGAACTGCCGATTTTTTGGTTAGCAGCTGATCGCTTAACTGCTGCGCCACCAGGACTCCTTTTGATTACCTTAAACCAAAACAACCTATTGCCATCGAGTCTGACTCGTAGCAACCCTATAGGACAGAGTAGAATTGCCCCATGGAGTTTCCAAGGAGCCACTGGTAAATTCAAATCGCTGACCTTTTGGTTAGCAGCCAAACTCTTAACCACTAGGCCACCAGACTTCCAGTTTGATCACCTTACTAAAGTCTTATTATTGTAATATCTTTTCCTACACCCGACTTTCATTATGGAAAATTTTCAGAAATATTAAAAGAATTTTGAAGTAACTGCCTATGTACCCACCATCTAGATTTTGCCATTAGCATTGTACTAGACTAGTTCTACCAGTTATCTAACTATGCATCCCTCTGTCCATTAATTTGTCTTTTTTGTTGTTGGCTTTGTTGCGTTTTGAAGTAAGTTGCAGACATCATTACCCTTTGCTCTAAATACTCCTCCTAATACTGCCCTCTATTCAAAGGTCTTCAAAATTAACTTTGTTGAATGAATGCATTACCACACAATTACAGAATATTTTACTCCTGCACGTAATTATCTAGAGTCTTGTTGATAGTCTTTTAGTTGCTGTTTTATTTGATGAGCAGACATCTTATTTACAAGTAATTTTGACCAGGTGTGAAGTGCATGGACTTTGGAACGAAATGAATCTGGTTTTTAAATCCCGATTCTGCCTCCTGCTCATCGTGTGACTTGCACATCCTTTGTTTCTTTTCCTCATTAGCAAGAAGAGAAAGTAAAATCCCTCGCTCAGAGTTATTTTGAAGATTAGATGAAGTATAATACTTAAAATAAGTTTCTGATGCCAAGAGCTTTATTTATCTGAATAAGCAAGACTGCTAATTTCCTCTTATTTATGCTTTTGTGTTTTGTAAAATTTATATTTACAACACATTTTCTTTCCCTCTTCTTCCATCCCTCCCTCCCTCCCTCCCTCCCTCTGTGTCTCTCTAATTTTGTCTCTCTCCCTTTCTTTTTTTAAGTAGCAACAACTTTGAAGGTATGAATTTGCAGTAATGACACAGCAACGTCAATTTTAGTTTTAATGTAGAATGCTGATATTTTATAATTTAATACACATTATGTGATTATAAATAACGAAAGTAAAAACCTATCACTAACGTGGAGCACTGACTAATGCAACATACAGATATTTTGGAGCCTCGATTTAAGGTGTTTACACAGCAACAGTGGGATCATCTGGACCCAGTGGGAATGTACACTCAGAGTCCACTTTTTCTTCAGCCCACAGGTCATGCCTTGCTAGAAACAAGAGGAATCAAGTGAAGGAAGGAGGAGGAGATTCCAATACTTGGGTATCATCAATTCTGTGTACTCCCTTGTCTGGAGACTGAGATTTTTGAACAGACATTCAGAGCTGATCCAGAAGAGACAGTTAGCAACATTTCCCAAATTCAGAAGAAAATGATCCAAGCCCAGGTAATTTTGGTTTGTTCTATTCCTCAATAGATTTGTAGCTGTTTTTAGTTGCTTTCAGGTCGGCTCCAATTCATGGTGACCTTAAGTATAACAAAATGACGGATTTGTGGAGTCCTGTAGAAATCAGTGTGATGAAGCAGGAAAGTATAAATTGTGATTAGTAGGTTCTGGAGGAAAGTAAACTTAAAATTCTAATTTCTAAATCAGAACTAGGTAGGATCGGGAATATATTATTGATATGATTCATTGTTGATTCTTATATTGGCTCTGAACCTACATGGTGAATATAGGAATTTGTATTATTCACTTGCTTGTAACTAGTGTATAATTTACTATGATATGTATGCGTATATATATATACACTACTTTAGCAAGATGTTCTGCTTTAGCAAAAAGGTATAATGGCTACATATTACAGAAACTTGGAATTTTTAACTTTTTGAATGAATGGATGACTGCACAATTACAGAATATTTTAGTAGGATTTTGATACTATTACAATGGATTAAAAAAAAAAAAACCTCCAATTTCCTGTATGGCAAAAAAGAGCAGAGTAACTTCCTTTACATTCTTTCCATATCAAAAAAACATTACTTCATTAAACAGGACCCTATTATTACAGGACTCCCTGACATTCAGCGACGTGGCTGTGGAGTTCACCTGGGAGGAGTGGCAGCTCCTGGATCCTGCTCAGAAGGACCTGTACCGAGACGTGATGTTGGAGAACTTTAGCAACCTGGTGACCGTGGGTGAGAACAGCTCCCCGGTGTCTCTCAGAGGGTGCCCATTCAGTGGCTTTCCTTTCTCAACTACTTAATTTTTCGAAGTTCCTGCCATGCTCTTAAGTGATAGATTCTCAGATCCGTTTCTGGAGGCAAAAAAGTGTAAGATGCCCTCTTCTGAGAGAAAAGCCTTAACTTTACAAATGTGAAAACTCTCTAGTCCCTAAAATGTAACATTTTTTCCTTCTTGATATACCACCACCCAGTTCGATAAGTGTAAGTCTTCTGTCATTTCCCATGAACAGGGTATCAAGCTAGCAAACAAGATGCACTCTCCATGTTGGAACGAGGAGAAGAACTGTGGACAATAGAAGATGAAACCCACTGTCAGACTCATTCAGGTGAGTGAATGGGAACCGGCAGAGTGAGTGAGGAAATCATTCTAGACATTCTGTAAGGTGCCACAGCTATGTGGTTGTCTGAGGTACATAAACCGACCTTCCTTGCCATAGGATGTTTTCTTTTTAGGCGTTTAGAGGAAAATATGCCACTTTTCTCTTTTCTGAAATCTTATCCCTGTTTCTTTTATCTTACCCTGGTTTTATATTGTTTGTTTATATTGATTTCTTCCCCCTAGAATTCCCAGATTTCCTTTTCTTCATTCACTGTCATAATCAGTGTCTCTGCCTATTACTTTCACCTCTCTTGCTATGACATTCCTACTTCCAAGCCTCTCTCCAAAGAGAGAACTTTGAATTCTTTACTGTCTTGTGACTATTCCACCTTCCTGTCCCACTGAGAAGTACTGATTTCCCTTTGTAACATACAAACCCACGTTGGAGGTTGTTCCCCAGGATAACTTGAACTCTCACTATACACTTAAAGGTAGTCCCCAATTTATGACAGGGTTCTGTACCGACAACTCTATTGTAAGTTGGTTCTGACGTTAAGTTAAATACCTCTTTTTTTTTTTTTTTAGTTTTCATTATTTTTATCTTTTGTTATCAGTATCTTTATAAATCCAGTCTTTATTTATGTTTGGGGTTGGCATGAAAACGATAACATGAGCAAATTATACGCTGAAACGTATGTAGTACATATTACTAACAATACCCAAAAAAACCCGTTGCCATCAAGTCGATTCCAACTCATAGCGACCCTATAGGACAGAGTAGAAAGAACTAACCCATAGCGTTTCCAGGAAGTGGCTGCTGGATTCAGAATGCCAACCTTTTGCACAGTGCAACCAGGGCTGCATTTCTAATGATAAGATGTACCAAAAAAAAGGACGGTTGTTAAGTGCGGTTTGTCATAACTCAAATACATCATAAGTCGCGGACAACCTGTATATAGTTCCTTTGCTTCTCTTTCCCCTCTACTCTGAGGTTCTCTAAATTTCTGTTTTCCATTTTCTTTTGTTCTTATAACCCTGAAAGTCTCCAGTTCCCTTTATTCCCATGAGTTAAACTCTTTCTGTTTTTAAGGTAGACAATTCCAACTTAACTTCTCCCTCAATATTGTCTAACTTACACTTTAAAAGTTCTGTGTTATAAAAATTGTGTGGCGGTAGTATCAGACCTCGTCATCTAACTTCACAAGGGGAAAGAGAGAATCATTATCAGCATCATCAGCCCAAGGCTGATTCCTGGGAAGCAGAGGTCAGGCATACCTCCTCTCTCCAACCTTTTTAACAATTCCCGCACCAGCTGTCCTTCCCACGACACTCTCTACTCCTTTACTGAGTTTGATAATTCGTTGCAATGGCCACACAGAACTCAGACAATTCTCATGATTATAGGATTTATTAGGGAGGTGCCAGCTTATAATTCAGGATCAGAAACGACTCAGGATACAGTCATCAATTGGACAGCATTTTAGCCATGCTCGTAGGCAAACCTCTCCCTGGCCCTTGGCCTGTCAGGCCTCTTGGGCCAGCCTGGCCTCTACCCTGTTCAGACAAGTGTTACAAAGCTCTTTACCCACTGCAGTCAAGTCAGTTCTGACTAATAGTGACCCTATAGGACAAAGTAGAACTTCCCCATAGGGTTTCCAAGGCTGTAAATCTTTACAGAAGCGGACTGCCACATCTTTCTCCCACGGAGCAGCTGGTAGGTTTTGAACTGCTGACCTTTTGGTTAGTAGTTGGACACTGTAACTGTTGCCCATCAGGGCTCCTACAAAGCTCTTTAGCTCCACTGTTAAGTTCCCAGAGGCACCCCGCTCTTCCAGCAAGCGTTGGCCTGAAGGCGCTCAGCTCTCTCACTCTGTGGGTCGGCGAGTCTAGCTTCACCAAGTGCCTGGAGGCACCTACTCTGCCAGTAAGCCTCCTGCTGGCAGGTACTCAACTCTAACTTTGTGAGCTGGGAAGCCTACCATGCCATCTCTTGCCGGTCTCCTGTTTCTGCTGCCACCAGTTCTTTGCTGTGCTTGCCACCGCTTCTCACCATCTTGCACCATCTCTGGTTTTACAACTTTCTGTCGCCTGGGTCTAGGAGGTTCTCAGTGCAGGAACCCTGGGTCCAAAGAATGTGCTCTGCTCCCAGTTCTTCTTCTTGGTGGTATGAGGACTCCTTTCTGCTTCTGGGATTGCTCATTTTAAACCTACTGGGGTGGCAAAATTGACCAATACCCTCGTTAGGTTCCATACACCTTGTTTGCATGGTCCGACTTCCAAGAGATTGCCATCCACCCTTTGTGGGCCACAAGCAGCTTATTTGCATAGTCCCACCCAGGCATTTGGTGGGAGTTACAAAACCATGGTGAGAAAGGCCGTATAAAAGCAATCTGTCACACCGCGTATGTATTTTACTCATCTCCCTGGAAACTGGCCTATGGCTTCCAACTTTCTGTACAAGTAACATGAGTCATTCTTTTTCGAAGAAAAACCCGTTCTAATATCCTTTTTATTACCTTAGGTTCTCCTGTAGTACTGTACATCTTAAATGCCGAGTATCCTGGTATTACCTTGAATATCCTACATAATGAGGTTTCTTTGTAACAGTCTCTGCTGTTTGTATTGATTAACTAGAAAATACCTTTTTAATATCCTTGATCATTTCCAACACAAAACAGAACATAACTGCCTCAAATTTCTTCCTTCGTACTTTTGCTAATTCTAATTACTCTTTATTTTATCTATGACCTTACTGCTGCATTCATTTCCCTAAAGCTTTTGTTTTCTAGTGTATTTCAAGTATATAATTCAATGATTTTTAGTATATTCGCAAAGCTGTGAAACCATCACCATAGTCAATTTGGGAATGTTTTCATTTCCCCAAAATGAAACCCCTTCATCATCATAAGTCACTACCCACTTCTTCCATGGTCTCTCCTTTCTCCTCCCTGTCCCTCCCCCAAGCCCTAGGCAGTCACTAAGCTGCTTTCTACTGTATAGATTTGCCTGCTGTGAACATTTCATAGAAACAGAGTAATACAAAATGCGGTATTTTGTAATTGGCATCTTTCACTAAAGGTAATGATTTTCAAGTCCATTGTTATTTCATCATGTATCAGAACATCATTCTTTTTTATTGCTGAATAATATTCCATTATTCTATGGTGTTGATGTACCACATTTTATTTATCCATTTATCAGTTGATGACCATTTGGCTTGTTTTCACTTTTGGGCTGTTATAAATTAATGTTACTAATAACAGTCATTTACAGTGTTTTTAGGGACTTATGTTCTCCTTTCCCTTGGGTATATAATTAGGATTAGAATTACTGGGTTATGTGGTAACTCAATGTTTAACTTTTTGAGGACCTTCTAGAATGTTTTCCAAAGCAGCTGCACTATTTTACATTTCAACCAGCAGCATATGGGACTGCTGATTTCTCTAATTCCTCCCCAGTACTTGGTATCAGTCTGTCAGATGATAATCATCTTAGTGGGTGTGAAGTAGTATGTCATAGTGGTTTCAATTTCATTTCTCTGGTGACTAATGAAGTTAAGTATCATTTCATCTGATTATTGACCATTTGTACTAGATCCGCCCTTCTCAAAATTCCCATTCTGCTTTCTGCCTGTAATATAGAAACTTGATCCTGAGAATACTGTATCTTATTCATAGTATCTAAAGCATCTTTAAGGAGCCCTGGTAGTGAAACAGTTAAGCACTCGGCTACTAACCAAAAGGTTGGTGGTTTAAACCCACCCAGTGGCTCTGTAGGAGAAAGACCTGGTGATCTGCTTCCATAAAGATTACAGCCAAGAAAACTCTATGGGGCCATTCTACTCTGTCACATGGGGTTGCTATGAGTCGGAATCGACTCGATGGCACCCAACAACAACAAAAGCATCTTTGCCACCCAGGATTGAAGGGCCTGTTTTCATTCTTCCTTGTGTATAAATGGAAATCGTTCACTAATTTCTTTGTTTGACTGATTAGCCCTGCAGGGAAGGGACCATACCCCTCCATCTGTTTTTCAAGCATTTCATAATGCAAGATTTGGATTGTCTGGGTATGTGTAAAATTGTGGTGGTAGTAGTAATAGCAGCCTCATCTGAACCTGTCTAACTTCAGGGGGGATAATGACCAGGATCAGCCCAAAGCCGATCCCTGTGAGGTAGAAGTCAGACATAACCTCCACTCTGCAACCTTTTTACCAATTCTGACACCAGTTGTCCCTCCCACAGCACTATCTGCTTCTCTTTGGGGTTTAATAATCCCTTGCAATGGCCACACAGAACTCAGAGACTATACTCGCAGTTAAGTGGTTTATTAAGGACCGTAATACAAGTCAGAATCAGGATCAACAGGCTACAGCTCATGATCAGGAAGCCTGTAGGCAGTGTCTCCCTTCTTCAGTGTAGGACAGCTCTCTCAGCTCCTCTCAACTGTGCAGGTCTCCTCTCAGACCCCTCAGGACAGGAGTCCTCTTGGCCCCCTGATGACAGGCTACTCTCAGCCCCCTCAGGACATGCAACTGTCAGTCCCCTCTGGACAAGTTCCTCTTGGCTGTGCCGTCTGCTGCTGCTGTCTCTGCTGCTAGGCCTCTTATAAGCCTGTAGCAGTCTTCAGTGGTACAGCCCTTGACCTTGTTACAGCTCTCTCACAAGGTTCCTTGCCTCTTCTCTCTCTGTTCTTCCTTCTCTCTTCTTTTGGCTTCTTCCTGCTGCTTTTCTTCATGCTTGTTTCTGTCCCAAAACCTCTGTGGGGCTGGCTGCATGTATATACCCAACTCCTTGGCAGTTCAAGTCCACCAGGTGCTCCTTGTAAACTCTATAGGGCAATTCTACTCTGTCTTCTAGGGTTGCTATGAGTCGGAATCGATTTGACTGTGGTGGATTTGGTTTTGGGTTTTTTTTTGGTGTCAATTTCAAGGCATTACCCTCCTACCAGGGCCGCAAACTGACCAATCCCCTCTCAGTAGGGCACAGACACTTCATGTGCATAGCAGGCTACAGACACTTCATTTGTACAGTCTATTGACCAATCCCTGCAAGGTGTGTACCAGCCACAGGGTAGGCTGCAGCCCAAGGCCAGACAAAAAGTATCAAACCACAAGTTGTTTACAGTTTACCCAGAAAATGTAACAAACCTTCTTGGGTAGAAAACTAGGGCAAAGGTAACTCCTCAGATCTTAGGGGGAAAAGTCTCTCAGGCTGTTTTTCCAAAGAACCAAAGCGCAAGGCCGCATAAAGGAACTCTTTTCACCACAGTATGTCATATAGCTCCCTAAGGGATACTCTTGTAATCCTATAGTTGGTGAATCAAAGCCCTAATGTATAGCTGTTTACTAAGAAATAGGGAAATATTACAGGAATAAAGATGTTCGTAGTTATGAATGAGAACTCTTTGAGTAATATTTAGTACTTAAACTTTTGATCATGAGGCACTTTTCCTACAGTTCAAGGCTGTATAAAAGTAACTGTAAAAATGAGCAATAAAGACAGGGATTAATTTAACATTTAGAAAACATAGAGCTTACAGTGTTATAGACAGAGTGGGGAATGATACCATGACAGACCAGAGGCATATTCTGGTTTTGAATAAGGAAGTGATAAAGCAGAAGGAATGAAAGTGTGAAACTGAAAATGTGCAAGGCCATGAGGAGGACTTTTAAATAACTGGCCTGAAGCTGCTCACATGAAGGCCAATGTTAGGATATATTTGTAAGGGACCTAATGGAGTGGAAACTTTTCTTTTCTTTGTACAAGTATATCCCCTTGATGTCTTCCACCTCTCATACCTCTAATATCCGCATTTCACAATCTGCGAATGTCTTCTTTATTTCCTTCTTTGTTCACTCAGTTTCTGCTGACTAGAATTGAAGCTCAGTAGAAATAAGGACTATGTTTTATATCCCAAACATGAGCGCAGTGCTTTGTATATGGTAGCTATTGAACAACTATTTGTGGAATAAATGAATGCAGGCCTCATTATTGGATCAACCACTGTGGTCTGATGCTCCTCCAGTTTCTTTTGTCTGATATCCTTCTAAATTCTGTGTTTTGCTGCTAAAAATAACCTGCTTGTATTTTACTACCCTGTATTTTGTGCAAAGAGCTATTTAGAAAGTAACCATATTATATAGATTGTAAATTATCCATGTTTGTACACTGACTGCTTTTACCTTTTGGTGTTTATATTAGTGTGTTTTTACCAATGTATACATGTATACATGGGGTTTCTTTTATACTCATATCATAGGGTTGTCACTAAAGAGCCTACTTTTTAAATAGATTTATTCCAAACTAAGATTGTGGAATGATTCATTGTTCTTTTTTTTCTAGAAATTGGGAAAGTTAATGATCATCTCCAGTGTCTCTTGCAAAAGCAAAGAATTCAGAAGTGTATGGAACAATGCCATAAACATAATGCATTTGGAAATATTTTTAATCAGAAAAAAAGTAATTTTCCATTAAAGCAACACCATGATATGTTTGACTTGCATGGAAAAACTTTAAAATCAAATTTAAGTTTAGAAGACCAGCACAGAAGTTGTGACCTGAAAAACTTTACTGAGTTTAATGGAGATGGACAGCCCTTTCTCCAAGATAAGCACGAGCAAGTTTATAGTGATAATACATTCCCCAAAAGTCCAAAACCCATCAGTAACAAGTCCCAGATCATTAACCATCAGAGAACTGCCAAAATAGTGAATGCCCATGTATGCAGTGAATGTGGCAAAGCCTTCATCAAGAAGTCTCAGTTCATTGATCATCAGATGGTTCATACAGGAGAGAAACCTCATAGATGCAGTATGTGTGGGAAAGCATTCTCCAGAAAATACAGGCTGATTGAACATCAGAGAACTCATGCAGGGCTGAAACACTATGAATGCACTGAATGTGACAAAATCTTCCTCAAGAAATCACAACTAAATATACATCAGAAAGTTCATATGGTAGAGAAACCATATATATGCAATGAATGTGGGAGAGCCTTCAGCAAGAAGTGTTTGCTCATTTATCATCAGCGAACTCATACAGGAGAGAAACCTCATGGGTGCAATCTATGTGGAAAAGCTTTCTGTACAAAGTCCAGTCTTACTACTCATCAGAAAACTCATACAGGAGAGAAGCCCTATATATGCAGTGAATGTGGAAAAGGCTACATGGAGAAGAGGCGTCTTATTGCACACCATCTAACTCATACTGGAGAGAAACCCTTTATATGCAATGAATGTGGTAAACGATTCACTTTGAAGAACAGTCTTATCGCACATCAGCAAACTCATACAGAAGAGAAATCATATATATGCAGTGAATGTGGAAAAGGCTTCTCCATGAAGCACTGTCTCATCAGACATCAGCGAATTCATACTGGAGAGAAACCCTATATATGCACTGAGTGTGGAAAAGGCTTCCCCCTGAGAAGCCCTCTCATTAGACATCAGCGAACACACACAGGAGAGAAACCCTATGTATGCAATGAATGTGGAAAAGGCTTCACCATGAAGATTGATCTCATCATACATCAGCGTATTCATACCGCAGAGAAACCATATATGTGCAATGATTGTGGAAAAGGCTTTACCGTGAAGAGCCGTCTCATTGAACATCAGCGAACTCATACAGGTGAGAAACCTTATTTATGCAGTGAATGTGGAAAAGGCTTCTCAGCAAAGATCCGGCTGATTGGACATCAACGAACTCATACAGGAGAGAAGCCGTATATATGCAATGAATGTGGAAAATGCTTCACTGAGAGGAGCCATCTCAATGTACATCGGCGCACTCATACTGGAGAGAAACCCTATGTATGCAATGAGTGTGGGAAAGCCTTAAGTGGGAAAAGTGTGCTCATCGCACATCAGCGAACTCATACTGGAGAGAAACCTTATGTATGCAATGAATGTGGAAAAGGCTTTGCTAGGAAAAGTAATCTTGTCGATCATCAGCGATCTCATACAGGGGAAAAATCTTACATATGCGGTGAATGTGGAAAAAGCTTTTCTGTGAAGCGTACTCTCATTATACATCAGCAAACTCATATTGCAGAGAAATCGTATATATACAATGAATTTGAACAGGCTTCTAAACAAAACGCACTCTCATTGTACATAAGCGAACTTATACTGAAGAGAAATCCTATGTGATAGTTAAATTTTATGTGTCGACTAGGCTATGTTTCCCAGTTGGTTGGTCAGACACCACTCTAGTTGCTGTCATAGAATAGTTACCTATGATTAAATCAGTTGGCCTTGGATAGAGCAGATTACCTTCCATAATGTAATGTAGTTTAATCACCCTCCAAAATGCATTGTCATTTAATATGGTCAAGTCATTTGAGGTCATATCAGTGTAGGGTGGATCTTAGAGCTAATGACTTACGAGTTATGAGAAGACGAGTAGAGACAGGGACACATACACACGGGAAGACAACATGTGGGGATCATCTACAAGCAAACGAACACCAAGGATTTTTGGCAGACACCAGAAACTAGGAGAAAGGCTCACAGACAGAATTGACATGGCTGAGACCCTGATTTTAGCCTCCAGAACTGAGAAAATAGATTTCTGTTTTTCAAAGCCAACCACTTGTATTAACTGTAATGGCAGCACTAGGAAACAAAGGCACCCTATGAATGCAGCCAGAAGCTATGTCTCAAACAACATGAGAGATGTTATATAGGAAAGACTCCGTTTGTATGTACTGAGTGTGGAAAATCCTATTCGCACAAATATGATCTCATTACTGATGGAGAATTCACACAGAAGAGAAACCATAGGAGTGCAGTGAATGTGGGAAGGTCTTCACCACAGAGTAAGTGTACATCAAAGAACTCACACAGGTGAGAGACCATATGGATACAGCGATTGTGAGAAGGCTTTCTCCCACTTGTCAATCCTTGTTAAACATAAGAGAATGCACACAAGAGAAATGTGCAGATTCAGTCAAGTTTGAAGTTCCTTTAACAGAGTCAAAGCTCATTACAAACAAGGGGTCTCATGCAGAAGACAAACCCTATGAATATGATGACTGTTAAATTATCTCTGTACAACTCAGGCCTCTTTATACATCAGTGGGTTTCCAGCAGATTGGAATGTAATCAGTATGAGACAGCCTCTTATGAGATGTGCACCGTCAGGAGATTAAAGAATTTCCCCAGAAGAGAAACCTTTTCAGTACAGTGAATGTGGTAGTGCCTCTTGTGATCATTACCTCACATTTTCTGTTAGTGAAAAACGTAGGAAAAAACTCTGATCCGTTTAATGTGGAAATGCCTTGAGCAGAAATTTTTAGTTCATTATTTGTCTGAATATATAATACATATTTATACTGAGATAAATCTTATAAATGCAGAGACTAGTAATTCTAATTGTCTATGATAATCACAGCTTCTAGCTGATACAAAAATAGTGGCCATGAGAAAGCCTTTACCCAGAAATAAAATCTCAGTAAGTGTCAGAGAGCTTACATTGGAAGAAAACTTTAAGATGACAATGAATTTGGCATTGGCATTATTTCAGTGATATATTCTTAACATCATTTGTCATAAAAATCATACAGAAAAACCTTTGAACATGCTAAATGTGAAGCACTGTTAGCAAAATATTAGAGAAGTCATGAAGGAATGAAGTCCAGTGAAAATGATATTTGCATGCTTTTTGTTACAAGACTCATCATCTTACACCTCACTGACTGTCTTGTTATCCGACATTTCACATTTATGACAATATCCAACTATTTTGCACATTAACAGCATATATCTGACAGTAACAAACACGAAAGGTGTGAGGCGAGGGTAACACTGAAGGTGAAGGTTATGTGTCAACTTGGCTGGGCCATGATTCTCAGTGGTTTAGCTGTTATGTAATGATGTAGTCATCCTCTGTTTTGTGATCTGATGTGGTCCTCTAGTTTCACAATGCCAGTTTCTCATAAGGACCTAGTCTTTGGAACCTAACCATGTCGGTGAGAAGAGGATGTATATCAAATACACCCGATGTGCATTTTCAAACTCAGTAGTTTGAACTTTATTCTTTGTTGCCTTGTTAATGGTTCCATAATTTAAAAAAAGCAGACTGCTCTCCTCATCACTAATTTTTATTCTTATATACAAGACAGGAGTGTCAATGACTATCCCATATTATGTGATTTGTTCTTATATTTCTTTGGCTTTAAGTTTGTGAATTTAGCATATGAAGTACTTAAAAGGAAATAATATTTTAAATTTATAAATGTAACAATGTACTCGGAAATGCTTAACTAAGTTTATAATATGATCGAGTTTTCAAAACCACCTTCAAAGTTGTTATGTCTAATTTGAAATAATTTTAAGCTTGCACAAACTTGCAAAAATAGTCCAGAGACTTTCCAAGTATCCTTCACCCAGCTTCTTGCAGTGAAAGCATCCTACATAACCATATTGCATTATCAAAACCAGGAAAATGACAAAGGTAGAATGCTATTAATTAAATCCTCAACCTTATTTGGATTTCAGTAGTTTTCATACTTTTTTTTAGTGTTTAATTCTAAGAAGTTTTATTAAATGTTTAGATTTGTGTTACCACCACAACAATCAGGAGATAAAACTATTTCATCAACACAGACTCCCATGTACTACCTTTTTATACTCACACCCTCTCTCCATTTGTAACCCTGGCAACCACCTATCTGTTCTCCATCAGTATGGAATAGTATACAGTGACAAAAAGGGACAAGCTATTGATACATGCCACAGCTAGGATAAATTTCAAAATAATTATGCTGTGCCAAAGAAGCCAGACAGTATATACTGTATGATTCCATTCATACATTACAAACTATAGTGAAAGCAGATCAGTTTAGTGATTGCCAGGAGCTGGGTGGAGAGGGCAATGGGGAATTACTAGTTAATGAGTATAGTGTTTCTTTGGATACGATGAAATGTTTTGGAGGTGATGGCTAGATGGAGGTGATGGCTGCATAATATTGTGTATGTAATAAGTTCCACTGAATTACGTACTTTAAAATGGTTAATTTACATTTTGAAATTTTTATCTTGTAAAAATGGCATGGTGGAGGCATCTGATCTAACTTCATGAGTGGGAGGGAGAATCAGCATCAGCCCAAGGCTGATTCCTGTGAAGCAGAGGTCAGACATACCTCCTCTCTCCAACCTTTTCACCAGTTCTGACACCAGGTGTTCCTCTCACAGCACTCTGTATTTCTCTGCTAGGTTTGATAATTCTTTGCAATGGCCACACAGCTCAGACAATATTCATGGGATTTATTAGGGAAATAACAGCTTACAATTCAGGATCAGGAACAACTCAGGATACAGTTCTTCGGTCAGGACAACTCACATGTGCCCACAGGCAGGCCTCTCTCTGACGCTTGTCCCCTGAGGCCTCCTGGGCTGGCCCAGCTGCTACCCTGCTCGGGCAATTTTTACAAGGCTCTCTAGCTCCACCAATAAGTGCCCAGAGGCACCCCATTTCTCCAGTAAGCCTCCACCCAAAGGTGCTCAGCTCTCTAGCTCTGTGGTTTGGTGAGCCTACCTCCGTGACAAGTGCCTGGAGGCACCCCTCTGCCACGAGCCTGCTGTCTGAAGGTGCTCATCTTTTCTTGCTCCATGGGCCGGGAAGCCTACTGCGCTGTTTCTTGCCTGTCTCCTGGTTCTGCTACCTCTGCTGCCATTTCTCTGCCTGCTTCTTACCATCTTTCACCATTTCCGGTGTTACAGCTCTGTCTCCTGAGTCTAGGAGGTTCTCAGTGCAGGGATCCCGGGTCCAAAGCATGCACTCTACTCCTAGCTCTTTTTTCTTGGTGGTAGTGAGGTTCCACCCTTTCCACTCTGGGATGACTCATTTTAAGCCTAGCGGGATGCAAAACTGACCAATCCCCTTGTTACGGTTCCATACACCTTATTTGCATGGCCCCACCCCCACAATGGTGCCATCTACTTTATTTGCATTATTAGCAAACCATCCAATCCCCTTGGTGGATCACAAGCTCCTTTTTGCAATCATTTAGTGGGAGTTAAAAGACCATGGTGAGAAAGGCCACATAAAAGTTATTCATCATACCACATACCTCAATAAAAAAATTCAAAAATATATCCAGAGTAATTGTTTTCTTCCTCCTCATTTCTGCTAATGTTGCCATTTTACAGTTATAATGCCAACACAACATTGTTATAATTATTGCTTTGAAAAACATGCCTTTTACAGAAGACAGTAAAAAAGGAAAAAAATTATTTGTACATTCTCCTCTGCTTACCTACATATTTCCAATTTCCAGAGATGTTAATTTCTTGCTATTGGAGTTACCATTTGAGGTCAATTCCATTCATCCCTAATGGTCTCCTTTTCTAATGTCTTTATATTGCCCTTATTTTGTAGAAATTTTGCTAGATATCAAATTCTTCATTGAAAATTATGTTTCCCTTTCAGCTGTTTGACTATATCATTCCATTCCTTTCTTTTCTCCACTTTTTTTTTTTTTTTTTGTGATGAGAAGTGCACTGATCATTGCTTTTTATCTGCAAATAATGAGTTTTCTCTTGCTTTTCAAAGTTTTTTTCTCTCTTTGGCTTCAATAATTTGTTGTAATTATCTCTAAATTTTGTATAATGGCCACGCACAACCAAATCTGTTTGGTTCAAAAACTCAGCTATGAATTTGTATTCCAGGAAACCCCCAAAATTTAGGGTTTTGTTGAAAATTTCCAGTCTGATGAATATATTTCATCATATTTTGGAAATTAGTGGCCATTATATTTTCAAGTATTTTTTCTTCACCTGTCTTAGCTGTCTTCCTGCGATTCCTATTACAAATATGTTGATATATTTGATGTCTCACAGGTCTCTGAGGCTTTGTTCACATTTCTTCAATATTTTTGCCTCTGTAGAGTGGATATTTCTTTTGATAACAACAACAGCCATAGTCTTTGTACCTCCCACCAAATGACTGGGTGGGATTATGCAAATGAAGTGCTTGTGGTCCACCAAATTGATTGGATAGCTTGCTAATCATGTAAGTAAGGTGCACGGCACTCATAGCGAACCTATAGGACAGAGTAGAACTACCCCATAGCACTTTCGAGGAGCGATTGGTGGATTCAAACTGCCAGCCTTTTGGTTAGCAGCGGAGCTCTTGACCACTATGCCATGAGGGCACCTTTGTAGGGTTGGGACCATGCGAATAAGGTGTATGGGGCCCTGATGGGCTTGGTCAGCTTTGCCACCCCACTAGGCTTAAAATGAGCCATCAAAGAGGTGTGGGGGGGGTACCTCAAGACCATCAAGAAAGATGAGATGGGATTTGAGTGCATCCTTTTGACCTGGGATCCCTGCACTGAGAAGCTCCTAGAACCAGGACGCTGAGAGAGTAGAAACAACAGAAAACAAGACAGCAGTAGCAAAAATGATAGCATTGAGAAACAGCAGGAACCAGGAAGAGCTGGCGTCAGAAACGGGATTCATTGCAATGGCTCCAGACTCATGAAAGCATGGGACTTTGTAAGAGAAAGAACAAAGCAGTGTGGGAAATGAAACTTTTGATTCTTGGATGCTTACTTCGGTTGTTGTTACCTGTAATGGCTGAAAGGAAATTAAGAGATGTTATGCTGCAGGTGACAGGAGAAAAAGGAGCCCTCGTGGTGCAGTGGTTAAAGAGCTCGGCTGCTAACTGAAAGGTAGGCAATTCAAACCCACCAGCCACTCCACGGGAGAAAGATGTGGTAAAGATTTACAGCCTCAGAAACCCTATGGGGCTGTTCAACTTTGTCCTATAGGGTTCATACAATTCAGAATTGCCTCAACAGCAGTGACTTTTGTTTGGTTTGAGGGGAGAAAAGCTGCATCTGGAATGGCTTTGGGCAAAAGCCAGGACAGATAAGCAGGATGATGGGTAGGGACAAAGGGTCTTCTTGTTCCACCCAGTCAGATGCCCAAGGCCATATGCATATGAATGGGAAGATAATCAAGGTGTGGAGAAGATGAAACTGGAACGTTTTTAAAAGGGTTTTGTGTTTAGGTTATGTGTTTTTCTGAGTGTACAATGAATATTGAATGTTTCTCTTCACCGTGTTGTAAAACAGAACTAAAATGTATGATGGATATGAATGTTGGCTATTACAGATTACAGGGAGGGTGTAACTCCACCTTCAGCCATTACTTGATTGGATGTGCTAAAAGGGGAAGTAGTGAGACCGGCTAGGAATTAGATAGGCCTTAGGCAACAAGCTGTGTCAGTAGAAAATTTCCGAGCAACTACAAACAGCATCTTTCGACCAAGATAATGAGTCACCCCACCCTGTTTCCTTCTAATCTTCCTGCTTACAGTTGTTTTTCAGGCAATCTGACTAATACCAGACTTCACGCATGTGCCGTGAAACAGTAGGTGACTTAAAAGTGAACCCGGTCAGCATGTTTTCAGTGTACACCGCTATTTTCTTGGAAACACACAGATGTCAAGAGTATAAGAGGAGCCATCTTGAGGGAACACGGGCCGCCATCTTGAGCCACGAGTTGCTCTCACAGCCTACACGCCCACCCCACACCCCTTTTTGAATATGCATGCAATTTCCTGGATGTTTAATGAATGTGCATGATTTCTCCCTTCCCACATAATATAAAACTTCCTCCAGCCCTGTGTTCAGAGAGACAGTGCTTTGAGAGCTATCTCCCTGTCTGCTTACTTGCTGCAAGTAATAAAGCATGCCTTGTCTCAAATCCGCATGACCCTTCGTTATTCTTAACAAGAGCACAGGTGGCAAACCCATTGCATTCAGTAACAGTAAGATTTGCCTGAAAGAAACACAGGCTGTTGGTTTGAATGCAGTAGCCCTGTTTATAGAATATTGAGGGTTAGGTAAAAAAAATCTGAGCCCCATCCAGGAAATTTTCATTTGAAAAGACATGCAGAGCTACACAGAATTGCTGGGAGAGGAGGAAATTTGCATTTGAAGGAAAGACCAGCAGGAAAAACAAAATGACTGTTTTGCTTTTTGAATTTCAAGCAAGCAGTTTGCCTTGGATACATCAAGGCAGGAAAAGTCACTGCCCATCAGAAAAGTTCCCTTCCAGAACTGAGAAGTTAAAGGCAGGTGGCAAGTAAACAGCCTGGTATGCTCACTTAAGATGATTACCTGGAGCCATGAGATGAGTGGAAGTGAGGGAGATGCAGCAATGAAGAGATGAGCTGAATTTGGACAAGTTCTATTGGTACCAATTGACCTAGCCCACAGGGGCTAGAGATGAGAGAGAGAAAGGCCTTGCTGGTCTGAAGTTCAGGGAGTTGTGTGGACTCCTGAGCCCACAGGTGGTACCCACTGTCCTGGCCTACATGGGCTATGGATGAGAGAGAAGGGCCTGGCTGATCTGAAGCGCAGGAAGGTGTGAATTCCTGAGCCTACAGCTGGTACATGTTGACCTAGCTTGGATGGCTAGGGATGTTGTTGTTGTTTTTTGGTGCTGTCGAGTTGGTTCCAACTCATAGCAACCCTATGTACAACAGAACAAAACACTGCCTGGTCCTGTGCCATCCTCACAATCCTTGTTATGCTTCAGCTCATTGTTGCAGCTACTGTGTCATTCCATCTCATTGAGAGTCATCCTTTACCAAGCACGATGTCCTTCTCCAGGGACTGATCTCTCCTGATAACATGTCCAAAATATGTGAGACAAAGTCTCGCCATCCTTGCTCCTAAGGAGCATTCTGGCTGTACTTCTTCCAAGACAGATTTGTTTGTTCTTTTGGCAGTCCATGGCATATTCAATATTCTTAGCCAACACTACAATTCAAAGGTGTCAATTCTTCTTAGGTCTTCCTTATTCATCATCCAGCTTTCGCATGCATATGAGGTGATTGAAAACACTGTGGCTTGGGTCAGGGGCATCATAGTCTTCAAGGTGACATCTTTGCTTTTCAATACTTTAAAGAGGTCTTTTGCAGCAGATTTGCCCAATGCAATGCGTCATTTGATTTCTTGACTGCTGCTTCCATGGGTGTTGATTGTGGATCCAAGTAAAATGAAATCCTTGACAACTTCAATC